ATATGTGTGTGTGTTTGTGTGTGTATATATATATATATGTATATATATATATATATATTTATATATATATATATATATATGTGTGTGTGTGTGCGTGTGTGTATACGTGTGCGTGTGTATACGTGTGCGCGTGTGTGTGTGCGTGTGTGTGTGTTTACATATCATTTTCATGAAAATATATGTATCTAAAAACACCTGCATATTCATACTTAAAGGATAGTCACGTAGATATACATACAATTTTTCTCGTGCTAAACACCATACTCTCGCACACCTTGACAAAGTCGACGCAAGCGCCGTGTCCCTTGATGCTCAGATCAAATACACCCAAGCGATCAGAACCTAACGAGTCAGCTCCGCACTGTAGCACAACTGCTGATGGTCTGTATAAAGGCGATTGTATGGGATAAAGTGAGAAAAGAATACCTGATACGATGAGTCCATGAGCAGCATATGAGCGACAAGAGGTGATAGCACAAGGTCACCACACTCAGCCAATGCTGACAATAGCTACTTTATGGTGCTCAGGGGTGTATCACCAAATGATTAATTTGTGTCGCTCCTACGTGAATATAGATACAACTTTTATGTATCACAACATAGAACGTATTCACTACATATTTCATTCCCAATTGTATCTAAATACATATACATATACAATTTGACATACACATACTAGTTTATAGCATATACAGAATACTTAGTTAGTGCATGGTAGATGTCTTCTGTTCGTATGTACGTAGGTATGTGTAAACACAAAATCATGATTCAAATACCCAAATGTGTCGGGCTTATTGACATAAGCTATTTTCAAGCCCAACTTCCATATACACTCAAAAATTTAGAAGTGAAATATATTTGTTTTAAATCAAGCGTGCACATCTACACTGTATATCCAAAACTTGGACATACGTTCCATTCCGGTGCATACACATGCATATGCTACAATTTACACCAGATGTTAATACACATAAAACATTCAAATTACAAGTATCTCATACTTGAACGTGTCCATAATGGACTGGATAACGGGCCTGAAGATATCTTGGTACTGCCTGTCGTCTATGCCGTCTTTGAGTGGAACATTGACGGAGTATTTTTTACCCGCATTGACCCCAATTTCCTCTCCACCTCCCGTTCCTAATCATGCAAATATAGAAAAATGGGATGGTTTTTGGAATGGAACGGGGTTAGTACGCCATTCTTCTCTGTCCGTGTCTTGCTGCGCATTTGAAGTATACCCCACACACGAGTGGGCTCTATCAGGGCACTTGGAAAGGTGAGTGCAGCTGCGTAGCTCACTCTGCGTGAAGGTGGAATTTAACCAGTCGTGGGAAGGGTACTACCATACTTAGTTACTGTGAGGGGTGGTCTATTGTACACTCCAGCATCCATTGAGCGGTGCTCACTCAGTGGTGGTTTCAAGGAGAAACAATGATGAAAAGACATCAATAAGTAACCGTGTCGTATATGAGCATCCGTTTTAAGTAACTTGCAGGAGTGATAAGCTGCTGACGACCCTTAAAGTGCATGCATCGCCATATTGAGCAGAAATTCATCCTTTTATCCTGATACACAACACAATCTCTTCACCAGGAGACACACCATTGACCAATAAAGCATTAGAGACATCGCTAATGACCTAACTACTAGCATACGTCTCACATTACATACCTGGGAAAAAGGCGTCGCCAAATTTGTGGAATGATGCGGTCATCACGCGGTCTGTGGTATAGAAGGCTTCCTGAGAAAACGAAACAGAAGACCGTTATCAGTCACCTGTGGCCTCCTAAAAGCCGCTACGTTGCGCCACGCATACGGATACACATATACTTATACCATGCGTATGGTCAAGAAGTAGCCTGTATGTACCTTGTGGAGTATGCGTAGTACCACTGCATGTATATACTTATGTACACAAGTGTTACGGGTATATAAATAGACTGAATGGTACTAAGGTCTGATACCAAAGTAAATGTGTACAGCTTGATACAAAGAACGATTTCCCCCGACAGTCGTAATTACCGCTTTCTTAGTCCCATAAATCTTCTACTCAGCAACATGAGACTCATTTTTGGATACAGGACTTTTATGTCACCAGCAAGTACGTCACTCACCTGCACCCCGTCCCCGTGATGAACATCGATGTCTATGTACAGCACACGCGTGTGGTGCTTCAGTAACTCGAGGATACCTAGGGGTGATGTGGTAAAGGACAAGTGAGCAGGGAAATCAACTTGGTCATCAGTGCAAATAGTACATAGTGAAAAACGCAACAATATGAGATACAAACCAAGAATTTAACGGCAGAGGTACACACAGGTAGCTTTGATAGTATAAGTACGAACACACACTCAACCAGAACTTGTGCACGTCTATTTGTGAAAAGCCATGGGTGCATTTTATAGAAAAGTATGGAAACCATCACACGGGTACATCACCACATTCCTGTAAATGCACAACTAGACAAGGTGTATACCCTTTCATGGCAGTATTGACCCTTTCATGACAGTGAGTACCCCACCAGCATTTAAATAGCAAACAAGGATAGATAAAATACTACACACAAAAAAAGTCGAAAGCAGCTAGATGGGTAAAAGAGATATGGATAGACACAGCAGACTGTTCTTTTGAGTATTCTGTAGCACAACAGGGGTTAGTGCCCTGGTATGCGTATGCGTATGCGCGTTCGAGAGTATCGAGCAATTCATGTAGTTATAACGAACAAGTAGAGTTTAAAAGCATGTATTTAGAGGGCTCTCGAGCATACGCAACAATCATCTTACCATTCAGACAATATAAAACAGTAGTCGGCATCGCATGATGTCCTTTTCTAGAACGTCAGTTCTAACCTATACACGATATAAACAGCAGAACTTGGGCATACATACCGATCACTATATCATTGACATAACAGAATCCAGACGCTTCGAATTTCTTTGCATGATGAAGTCCTCCAGCCCAATTGATCGCTGTGAAAGAAATATACAATGATGTGAATAAGTGGTCGTATACATCAACGCGTACAAAGCTGTATATAGATAGGCATAAACGGGTCATAACAATAATAATAGCATTTGGTCATGCATGGGTGGTTGCAAGCAAGTGCTGAATAGGATACCCAATACGAGTCAGAGTATATCGGCGGACACAAGCGAGCACATGAAGGTAGAAGACCGCTTTGTATAGAGCAGTCAAGGCAAACGAGATATATGATTCCGACGCAATACCTGAACGTGTGCGTGCAGATGACGACACACACTTGCGACGTACGGCACAGGAGTGTGAAGTTCGGTACTCACTGTACTTATCAAGCATACTAATCTTGTATTCAAACATTCACGGCTCGTACTGTGACAGTCCCAGTCCAGTTAATTCAAGACACGTAGATTCATCAAGCCAAGAGCATGCGCCAATGACCAGACAGACTAAACTCCGGAAACGCGACCATTGTATGGTGTATCACACGTACCTATATCGCAAAGGTTATTATTGAGCTTGACTGCCCCTTCTAACGACGCCCCTGTGGAGATGGTGCTGAACTCGAACACGCCCGGAAACACCGGACAGTCGTCCCCGATATTAAACCGCTGGAAGAACGACGCGTACGAGTCAATGTTGTCTCTAGAGGCTCTGTAAGGTGACACACACAAACAAAGACGCAACTGCGTGTGAGTTGCACGTTTACGTAGTCGAAGCACAAGAAATCGGGCACGGTGTGTAATTGAAAGTTGTGGAGTAGCGATCCACGACTATGTTTATAGATATGGTCTATACCGGTGTGCCATGTTCGAAGCCGTGACAGTGCAGACTGTGTGTGGCTGTGGCATGGGATCGCAAAATACAAAGCAATTTAGACATAGTTTCCATTGCAACCATCAAAGACATTGTATGTCACAAATATAGGGTACATGGTACAAAAACTGCGCCGCCGCGCTGCACTATGCGAGATGGCTGAGAATCCATCATTCTGACTTGAGCAGTAAAAAGTGTTCTGACACGAATTCTAACGTGTCGTATACGTTGCCAAGAACCGAATGCAATATGCATTTATACGCAGATGTACAAAATATCAATAGAACAAGTGTTCGCAATATAGAAGTAAGCATACATACCACAACGCGTTTAGAGCTGAAAATATATATACAATCTATACCCGAAAACGATCAGAAGTCAACGAACGCGGCCACATAGTGAAACTTACTTCTTCAGAAAGTCGATGTAATCTGGCGCGTGGAATCGTTCCATGTCCAGTTCTGTAGCGCGGTACGGCCTGTATACCTCCATCTGTGTTCCAAATAATTTACAATGTATGTTTAGTGATGATTCGCCATGCGTATATAAGCGCCATAGTACGTCAGCAGCTTAACCGTGACCATACGATACAAAAAACCACAAACTCTGGTCTCGCGGTCTGCGTATCAATGTATTGGAAGCATGTCTGAGAAGCTTTCAAACCTTTGTAAAGCCTGCCTTATAATAGTCTGTATTGACTAGATTCGCGACACGCCGGCAAAACGTTCCAATCGTGTCATACCTAGGCAATCACACCTATACATATTTCAGATAGTATATCATTATATCTAACATATAACCAATATACACCAGAGATTTTAGTAATAATTTCTACAACCAATACATGCATTGAGTTGTACATAATAGGTAAACTTAACTCAGCCTTATCCATTGAGGTAGAATATGCAATAAAATGTATGTATATATATTACACGATTATATATATATATATATTTCTATTTATATATATTTATATTTATAAATATATATATATAAATATATATATATATATATATATATATATATATATATATATATATATATATATATATATATATATATATATATATATATATATATATATATATATATATATATATATATATATATATATATATAGTATAGTATATATATATATATAGTATTATATAGTATAGTATATATA